TACTGAAAATTCAACTATTTTTCATTAAACGTATGTATGGCAATAATTTCAGATATCAATTTCAAGTTGTTACTGGCAAATTGAATTGCATGCTGGATTCTTAAATCTCTACAACACTCAGGTGCTTCCCATCATACGTTCTGACCAGCTTCCACAACTATTACACTGCCTAATGATTGTGTCATTCTTCCCTGATGGATTCTCCATAACATAGAACAGATTATAGTCCATATAAAATAGCATAATGGCCTAGTGAGGGTGGAGGAACATGAGAAATATATGACTGTAAGGAAATTGGATGGCTATAGTCTGAACAGATATAGCAAGTTCCACCATTTGAAAAATACCGGTGGCACACTGTAGAACCCTTGTGGTAAAACGTTTTTGTTCCAGGCAAACTTACATGAGGCCCACCTGGGTGTAATTGGCCTTTAATATGTGGCAATTTTTATTCAATTCCTTTAATGTTCCTTTAATGTTGCAAATGTTTTCTTCATCTTATTTTGTTTGGCATGTTGTTGCATTTTTGATATGCTAAGACAGTATTTAGCTGCAATATTACCCCTGTTGTTTTCCTCAGTGTTCAATGTAGGTATTGAAATTATTGTTTGGGTCTTCAGTTGTCTCTTTGAAGATGAGGGTTTGAAGATGGATTTGGAATACCAAGTATCAAGTTATGTTAATAAAACCAATATAGCTCTGTAGTTAAAGTGTAATTCTAACTATTGCCCAGTGTTGGAAGATAGAGACATCTGAAGAGATGTCTCCACACTTATAGTTCCAGTGATCACTGTTTCCCAAGCAAAGATGCAGACAACAATAAAAGCCTTTTTTCCCCAGTCTGTGTCCTTATTGTAAAGATTTTTCTTCACTTTCTACCTCAGTGACGGCCATCAATAAAACCATAAGTGAGTGTAGGGAAGCCCGCAATAAAGCCCATACAGAAGTTGTAACCCCTCCCCATTCTATATGAATAAAAACATTTGGCCAGAGACTCATTGTAAACATCATATAAGGAAAAATCTATCTTCCTCTGCTGTAAAATGAAAGGTCGTCTTTAACAGAAACCAAAGAACAGCAACACAATTAGAAAAAATAATTCACTGACCTCATCAGAACAGAATATTGTAAATAACAATTTAATATGTTAACTTTTATACATGCAGCATGTGATGTTAAACTGCAAAATCCATTGGCATTTACAGATGATAGCTAACAGGAGCTTTATATTTTATATACAGTATATTATATAGACTGAACTGTAACAAAGAACATTGTATTTTTTAGCATCCCCGACAAAAAATCTGCAAAAGGTGAAGATAGCAAAAGCATCCGTTCCAATTATGACACCCAGAGCCTGAGAAGTACTCGATCAATGCCTCGTTCCGATGGGTGAGATTTGAAAATTGTTCAATTCCCTTTAAATGATGCTTGTGTGGACAGTAATAAGTAGAGGGTGGATTTTACTATGCAACAACATACTCTAACATAGGCTTTACTAGAACCATAAATAGCTTTTACCAGATGAAAAGATAAGCAGATGGGTAAGAGCAGTTAGTACTTATTAGAAAACAGAAAAATTATGGTTGTATACAGAGACACTCAAGAAATGCTCTTTAATTGAGATTCCTCTTTACAACTTCCTCTATCTTTCAAGGGCCACTTAGGATAACATTGACACAGACCTCCTGAGCCCTTATGGGAGATGGGATGGGAGAGGGATACCTTTTAGCACAAAGTATGAAGGGAAAAGTCGATCCAATTAACAATGAACAGTCAATGATACTTTTCTTCACCACTACATTTCCTCATTTGTTGGCTGAATGAAAGATTTATTGAAATTGAATACTTGTAATGGTTGAATCAAATTTTCACGTCCCTGGTAAGAGCCTGAGATGACGGCCTTTCTTGCCTCTCTTGTCTGGACTCCCCTGGTAATGATAAACAGAGAATGCAGGGACGGAAGAGGGGCAAGGGAGCCTGGTAGAGTAGATGACACCCAGAGCGGAAGGTACAGGTGGACCAGTCTGGAGGATGATGAGGACGGTCACTTCCTAAGAGATGATGTCTGCAATGGGTGAGGCGGGCACTGCTGCAGGACAGAGCCGTAGTCAGGAACAAACAGGGTCACAATCAGACAGGCAGCGAGATACAGAATAGGCAGACAGAGGCAGGGTCAGGAGCAGGCTGCATTGGTAACGTGCAGGCAAGGTGGTGTAGAATTGGTATGCAGAAGCAAGGTTTGAACGAGTCGAGTTCAGGAGGAAGGCAGCAATCAGCAGTCCAAGAACAAGTCGGCAGCAATCAGCAATCCAAGAACAAGACTCTTGAGTATATGCATTCCTTCCACCTGTACGGCATTCACACATGCACAAAAAACACGCAGAACGAAGACGGGCACCATTTCTCTGACAAGTATATTTTTATTTATGGATGTCTGTACATCAGACCAAAAAGAGTGACATGTAAAGAGGAAGAGGGACAGTGGGATTTGGTTCCTAAGAAGTATAGTCCCTCTATAATGAGAGACAGTTGAGATATTTGTGACGGTACCAGTACATTTGATCTAGTACACCCATGGTCAAACTGAAGCATATGGTGGGACTCAACTATAACAGGGGCTTGGTGTAAATACAAATAGTGCAAATAATACAATAGTTGGAAATTAAAGCATAACTACATAAACAAAAAAAAGAAATAAGTAGCCCAGTACAACTCTTGCAGTAGTACTCTCCTCCTCTTTGGCATTATCCTTCAGTGCTGGTCCTCTTCAGGGGCTGAATAATGCCCTGTACAATTCAACTTAATTTGTTTCAGCTCAATCTGTCAATGACTCACCCCATGGGGCACACGAGAATGCTGCAGACAACAGGGCCATGCCATTAGGTGGTGGCCTTCTCTGCAGCATTCAGGACCCCCTCAACATTGGAGGAGGAAGAGAACTCATAATATCATGTGACTAGACCAAAGACCAGGTAATGAGAGAGGGAGCTTTTTTTGTTCTGCTTATAAAATGCCTTACAATTTTTATCACTGCATAATTATGGTAACCGTTTAAACATTAATGCATTGATATGAACAATAAACACGGAAACTGTAATTAAAAGCAGTCCTAGCCTTTAAGGTATTTTTTCATGTTGAATGCATGCATTCATTTACAGTGTTACAACCATACACTAATCATTAGGAGACAGAGTAAAGAAATGCTTTCTCCTCTCTGCCATAGACTGATGACATAATTCTCCCAAGATGCTTCTCTATTGTGTCATGTCAAGAATTTATTGAAGCAGACTTGTAAAGCTACTAATAGATATTATCTATATGTATATCTATCCTATTGCATTTATTATACATATTGTAATTCTTATATCTCTCATATAAAATGAATAAATGACAAATCAAATGGCACATGAAACATATGTCTGTACTTGGTATTGATAAGAACAAATGTAAAATAGTGATCATTGATTGATTGCATTGTTTTCTTTTATTTCAGCCTTGATAAAAGACCTGGGAAACCGACAAGAAGTGGAGAGGATGCAATAAGCATTCACTCAAATCATGACACCCAGAGCTTAAGAAGTGTAACATCGATCCCGCGCTCTGAAAGGTCAATAGTGTAGTGATCCTATCTGTCAGGCAGTTTTTTCCTTTGAACAGTTTGTAGTCAGGAAGCACCCACATAAGAAATAAACTATGTAAGACAGCAGGCATTACCAGGCCTTGATTGAATAAAGTATCAGTGGAATTTTATCACCATGTATTATACAATATGGCAAAACTGAAGTAATAAAATATGTAATGCTTTTATAATATGTAAGGGGCTATTCAATAAGCTGCCAAAGGCGTTATGCTATTCACTTCGGCCCTATGCGGCTGATTTCAGCTATACATTGGCTAAAATCAGCTGTACATTGGCTCCCTTCAGTTTAGCCAAACATGCTCAGCATGTTCAGCTGAGCCGAAGTGAAGAAGCTGTTTGACTCAGCCGATCCAACATCGTGATCGGCTGAGCCGAACCTTCCGGCATTTCACTAGCTGCCGTTTGCCCCTATTTATAGGGGCGAACGGCAGTGAGTAAATAGCTGAATGCCTCTGAATGGCTTGTTATTCTACTCGCTACTTCTGACGTAGCGAGCAGAATAAAAAAAAATGTTGTGTGGGGTCCCACTCCCGATCCATACCAGACCCTTTAGGTTTGTAGGAAAGGGACTCCCAAGTGAAAAAAAAATGCGTAGGGTTCCCCCCCAAAAGTCATACCAGGGCCCGACACCCCTAACAATGGGGGTAAAATGTGCGGTCCCCCCTAAAATTTCCAACTAGGCCCTTAATCCGGGTGCAGGCCTGGCAGGGCAGGAAAGGGGCGGGGATGAGCAAGCAGCCCCCCTCCCCGCCATACCAGGCCACATGTCCTGGGCACTGGGAGGGTGCTTTTCAAGGGCCTCTTCCCCACAAGCCCTGACCAGCTGCTGTCATCGGGGTACCCCCTTTAAGAAAGGGGGCACCCAGATGCTGCCCCCCTTGTGAATGAGTAAGGGGTACTCGTGATTTTTTTTCACTAAAGGGTTAAATGTAAATAAAAAAGACCAGACATTGGTCTTAGGATAGGATTTTTTTTAAAAATCCTTTAATTAAAAAAAAAAAAATCACAGCAAAATTTCGGGCAATTCCTTTAATTAAAAAAAAATCTGAAACATTGATTCACCAACATAAACGTAAGGTCAATCAGGACGTCCCACATTGTCTACGACGACTTGTCGAAATTTGAAAAAAAAACTTACACCAGCTGACCCGTCCGCACCCGACAAACTGCCGCCGCAGAATGACCTGTTTGACAGGGGCGGCAAAAAAGTAATCAAATGTGCGGAGCTAGTGGTGACATCACTGCTAGCCCCGCCTATTTGTTTTGATTTGGCCTTTTGAGGTCCCAGCCAAATAAAAACAAATGGGCGGAGCTGGCAGTGACATCACGTCCGGCTCCGCCCATTTGTTGTCATAGAATGACAGGCTACTGTCCTCAAATGACCTGAGGACAGTAGGCTGTCATTGCATGATAACAAATAGGCTGAGCCAGTGGTGATGTTACCGCTATTTGTTTACATTTGAGGGGAGAAGCACATGCGTTCGGCTCGGCTGAGCTCTTCGGCAGCCTTGTACTGAAATAAAATTTCAGTACAATAGAGTTAGGAGGGCCCTGCTCGTGATTTTTTTTTATAGGGGTCAGCTTTAGCCCACAAAGTATTGTGAACAACAGCTAGACAAAAGTCTGAAACAATGGATGTACCTGATCCTTTTACTATTTTCTATAGCATAATTTACAGGTACTGTTTATAGATTTACATTTTAGTAGGAAAAGATAGCACTAAAGTTAAAACAAGCCATAGTTTGGAAAATCCCAGGACGTGTGCTGGATTATGTGCAAAAAAGAAATAATATTTAACGGTGTTTATGCCTGGAAAAAAGCTGTATTTGACTGCATTGCACTACATTTTTGCATTCCTATAAACAAATCCCATCAGACTGAATTATGTGTTACCTATGGCCGTTAAGTCATTTTAATTGGAATTTGATTTTTACTCTGTCCTGCAGGAGGTCCAAAATAGATATCCGCACTCTCCCAGAAGCTTCTCAGGCAGATTACCTTCAAAGTGGCCAGGACACCGGTGATGGAATTAGTCAAGCAAGCGTTAAAATGGACTCTCGATCTGAATCCAAGCGTAGTTCACCAGTTTCTGTTATGTAAGAATGTATCCAGTTCAGCAGTAATTTGTTAGAATTGTAGCCAGCTGTTAGTTTCAGCATCAGATAGAAGTAAAGTAAGTATTGCTTGAAGGGTCCCAGAGATACAGTATTACCTATATGCTTACTATACCACTCCTACCCCCCAAACACTTAACTTTGTTCTACATGAATCTTGTAGAATGTGGTAATACCTTTGGTAATGACTTTATCTCAGTTTATAAAAAGGGTTATAAAAGGGTTTATCAACAGAACTGCATATTTTTCGACCTCTCTAGATCAGGAATAATTCATTATTTACCATATGTGCTACTTCAGGAATCAGTAGCGTGCCTGTAATTAAATTATTTTTTAGAAAAAAAAGACACCTGCATTTATTAGGAAGGCAAAAAAGCAACTCCCAAGGGTTATCAATCTTCTGTGCTAGGTCTTCTCTTCCTTCCAAAAACTAGACAAGGCTTACATTTGGGTAACATATCTGTGCTGTGACGCCTCCTCAAAAATAACTGGTTCTAATAAAGCATAATTGTACTAACCGGACAGTGGAATTGCACAGTCCATTTATCAGGTTGTAACTGTAAATTACTTAACTGGTAAGTGTTCATTTTGACTGACCAATGCAATTAATAAAACAAAGCAATGGAATTAAACACGGCGAATCTCACATTTTCTCGTCATCCATTGACTACAATGATTCTTACAGTGAATAAGCTATTGTGAAAATGGACGCTGCAAAGCACAGACATGAGGGAGCAGATATCTTCCATTGTCTAAGAGGGGATTTTCGCTGTTGTGTATCTGGTAAAGGAAGTAAAGGGAAATCAACCCAATAAGCTGCAGATGGGAAAAAAAATCCCAGTTCTATCCAAAACTAAAAAGAATGTTTGGGTTTTAATTTAAATAATAATATAAATATATTATATCAATTATAATCCTCTTTTTTATATATGAAAGACACTAATTAGTTTGTGCTATACTGAACAAAATACATTTCTTATTATGCCCCATTTACATATTGTGTTTTGCGTTTTCCACGCGAAAGACCGCGCAGGACGAAAATGCTAAAAAATTTATTCCACACGGATGCTGCTCGTTTGCGACTATTAAATAGCTGCGAACGTGCGGAATCCGATGGATTATCGCGCTTGCACTATTTTGGGGGCCACGCAGTTTCGTACTGCAATACGATGCACATTAAAGTGCAATGTTTTCTCTGTTTAGAGCGGTTCTAAACAGAGTCGAATACGCGCAGACTGCCGCTACAGTGTGAATGGAGCCTTAACCCTGGGCATATCCTATCCTCCATATCTAAGCTGGTCTCCTCCCTAAACTTCAGTGTGGAGAACTGCTGTGCCCAGGCTCTCTGGGAAGTTGTCACACCATAGCTTAAAGCTCAAGTATAGTTTCTAGAGATGATGACACTTGCTTGAACATTGGGAGAAAGCTGAACAGATAATTTATACTGTAGCCTTGGAAGCTGATATGGCAGTATAGGAGCATGGAAAGAAGGGTACCTTAAAATGGGGTGGAACAAAATAAAGCTCAATAAACATTGTCTTTTTTTTGTTGGATTGCTTTAACTTTCTTTCCCTCTTTAGTGGAAGTGTCCATTCTTTGGGTGCTGCCAGTATCAATTCAGCACAAACTGGCAATCGAAGCAATGGCTATAAGACCAACACAAATGTGGGCGTGCACCAAGGTTCACCAACACCAAGCAAACGCAGCATATCTTCAAACTACAGCCATATAGTAAGTTACTACCTATGAATCTTTACAAGATTATATCTTTACAAGTAGTGTGTGGATAACTGAAAGATTTCTAGAGATTGAATCGCCAGTAAACATTAATAATGTGGTAAGCATTTTTCTCTTATTCTGGATCCTATGTAACAAAATGTCTGAGGTTTCCTTTAAACCTTTAGGGACTGTTGAGATGTGTTAATGTTCTTAATGCTTATGGTAAACAAATATTTTCTTAATTTCTCTTACATATTTGACGAGTTGAATAGAATATATAATATTACTGGTTGTTTTAAGTACAAATATTGTATTTTTCTAAGACACTGGGATAAATCCCATTGTACGCAACCTGTCGTGACATCCAATTGCGCAGTGTTTCTAAAAGACGTTGTGCTAGACCTGCTGAATCCATGTTGGCACATTACTGCGGACTAATACGACCTTGCATTTAGGGAGGTATAGAGGAATGAACTGGTGTTTTTTTTTGTTTGTAGTACACTTGCTCTTCAACTGTTGTTTGCAAATTAACTTTGTAAGCTTGTTGTAGGTAGAACAATGAAACTGATAAATAAAAAATGTATGTCATTTTCTCATTTAAACAGAGAAAGTTAGGAAGTCAACAGTCCACAAAAAAAGTGCTGGGACCCAAAACAATCAATTATTAGCTTGTAAAGGTTCTGCTTCACTACATTGCTGCTGCTGCTGCTGCTCCTGCTGCTGACATTGTAACAAAGCAATATTATTTTACATGATTATTAAAAGAACCCTGTCAGGTTTGAAACTGTGGTGTTTGAAAATGTAAGATCCAGAGCTGTCATCCTTCATCCTTAATGGTAAGTGAAAGTCCTAGAACATTTTTCAAGAGTAAACGTAATACACACTTTCCTTCTGGGACAATCACTCACTATGTACTGTAGTAAAGGAATCATCAGGATGACAGCAATATAGCCTGCCCTGGCAAGGGTAGCTACCATGTTCCTTTTCTGACATGTTTCTTTTAATATAAACCAGTCACAGTGCCCACTCAGTATAAACTGTCTCCTGATAAAACAACCTATATTCCTGCTGCTGTTTGACATGCTCCCCCGCCATTCCATTCACCTGCCAGAGCCCTTGTAAAGGCCCAGAAGTTTCAAGTATGGTGAACGATTTTTTCACCATTTGTTGTAGTGTTTGCCACCTGAATGGCCGTTTACTAAGACAAAATGTGAGGGTGGGTAATCCCTGCACTCACCCCTGGGTGGGCAGAGGATGTCGAATAAAGTTGTAATTTTTCTCTAAGTGATCAAAGTGACAGAATTACGTTAATTACTCTGGTTAAAGGTATTTTTTTTTTTAAACTACATTAAAACTATTTTGCTGCATGGTTCCTAATATTTAAGTTTTATATTTCAGAGTTACGTCTTTGTAAAATTAGGATAAATCTTGGAATAAAATGTTATAGAATGAAAGAGTGTTTAACTAAGTAATTTTTTTCCAGGGTTCAATAGCAAGTGGAATAAGAGCTAGTTCTAGCATACCTGAGGATATGGCAAAGGGGCATAGAAGACAGAATTCTGGCACACCTTCTCTAACTTTGTCTAGGGTGTCTGTAGCGTCAGGTAGGTCTGTCAGCTGTTTCCAGTTGTAATGTCATTTAATACAGTCATGTGAAGCAAGGCTGTTGCTCTACTGCATTTTTTTGCTTTGTTTTCTACTTGTTTCATTTATATTTTAAATATGTTTGTCACTGTTGAGTTTAAACCAGACCTGTCTGCCTTGCATGTGGTGATATCTAAAGTTGTATCTATAGAAAACTGCATAACCATTTTTAGAAATTAAAAAGAGGATTAGCCCAAAGCCTTATTTTGGTCTATTGATCTTATCTATAGAACAGATTCCAATTTCTAAAATAGCAGCTGTCAATTTCAGTCCCCTTTATATAATTAAAGAGACGCTCCCTCTTAATCTAAAGACAGGGTTGGATTTTAGGAGGGGACCCAGAGTCCCCTGGTCCATGTGAGTCCAATAGAAGGGGTGGAAGTTACCTGCAGTTCCATATACACTTTTCTGCTATGGCCCTAGAACATATATTGCTTTTTCTTCCTCACAGATAGATACAACCGGACGCAAGAAGGTTTTTTATATTCACACTAAAATGTCAGATACCACAGAACATTCCTAAAAACTGAGCCCATAATCTCAGACATATGAGTGTGATAACTAGGTGCCCTCGGTTGTTTAGTTCTGCCTGCAGGGATGGTTGTCAGAGAGAAAACCGCTGAGGTATTTGGTACAGGAGCAAGGAAAATGCAGTAAACCACAGACATTAAGCAAATAAAGTAGTAACAGAACTGCCTGATAAAATAAGACAAACCATGAGATGAGAGAAATTAAAAGAACAGCACAAAAGAGGGACTGCATAGTTCATATGATCGGCAGCTACTACCAACCTAAACTGATCTCTATGCATAGGAGACATTCATAAAAAAAATGAATGGCAGGGGGTGGAGTGGAAAGAGGAGCTACAGCTGACCATGAAACAAACTACCGTATTTTTCCGTCTATATGACGCCCCCATGTATAAGACGCCCCCAACTTTTCTTACCCAAAATTCAGAAATCAATATTTTAAATTATATTATGCATCACACTTACCTCTGAGCCAATCACTTTATTCAGCCTCTGTGGCATCAATGGTTTCTGGCAAGAAATCCAAGTCTTAAGCCTCTGGTCCAAGTTTGGCCATTTTGCTGGTTTTCCTCCAAGGCCTTCTTCTTTTTGGACATCTTAAGGAGTTGCTCTTCCTGTATTCTCCACTGTCTGATCATACACTCAGTGAGAGGAGGTCCAAATTGTCTCTCTGCAGCTCTATTCCCATGCTCTTTTGCATACGTGATTACATCCAGTTTAAATTTTGCAGAGTAAGCCAGCCGCTTTACAGGTTGTTTTTCATTTTCTGACATTTTTATGGTCACAGAATGCTCCGACATTACCGCTCTGGGCACTGTCTACACGCTCTCCCCAGCAACAGCTGACGTCAGGTACAAAAGATTTATGATTGGAGGAGAACTGTTATCTTGTCTCTGCAATCCGAAGTTTCACTCGTGAGGCTAGTTTGCAGTGGTATCAGCACTTTCAGCAGTTTCGAAACCGCGGCCCCCGTGTATAAGACACACCTCTTTTTTTAGGTAAACATTTTTATGAAAAAGTAGCGTCTTATACACGGAAAAATACGGTAATCACAGAGTAAGGTAGAGGAGGCAGGATGTAAGCTGATAAAGCATCAGGTATTGCGAGAGGGAAGGTAGAAAGTAGATAATGGTCATAGATTGGGGGGTGGGTGGAAAAGGGGAGAAAAGACCGTGGGATCTGATCACGGTGAAGGTGTTGATTTGATTGTAGACCATTAAGAGAATAGGTTGTGTGAGTCTGACAATAGTTGGGCAACAAAGAAGGGAGATGGTTGTGGCTGAGCATGAGCCCAATAGTGGGCAAGGTAGAAAGGAGGAAGAGTGAGTAGTAATTGTTGCTATTGGAGAGTAGTTTCAGCTCATCATGTTCGTTAGAGAGAGGATGCAGAAGACAAGCTGTACTGGACTGAGGGATGAAGTTACAGAAAGAGAAAGATGACCATGGACTGGGTCAAGGAGTCATGTATTACTCTCTTCTGAAAAGGAATTGGACCCAATACAAAAAAGTTGGGGTATAGCACATGCAGAATTTATGAAACATCAGGTGAAATGTAATATCTACTTAGGCAGCCAGGGGATATTGTTCAAAAGAGATGATAAGGCAGCATTACAGAACGTATAAGTTCAGGTACTGTAAAGAGGACAGGATTTTGGAAATGGTGTACTACTAAATGAAGACAGTGAGCATAGAGCTGCAGGAGAATGACTCAGAGGAAACTGGCAAAAGCTTCATCAACTTTTATTATCCAAAATTGTATAGGAAAGTATTATAGGATATGGGATAATATAGAAAGGTTGCAATTTGTTTATAACTTTAGCTACCTACAGTACATCTTTGGAGCCTTTTAATGTTAACATGCAGTTTTTACTGAAGGTATTCTTTGCTTATACTTTTTTTTCTTTACATGCTCAGTTTAAATAGCCCAGGTTTGTAACAGATGGCTGTCGGATAAATCCCCTTATCAAATACTGTCAGTGCTAATTTAGAATAAAACTATGAATTGTGTACTGACTTTTAATAATAAATAGTATCCCACATATTTTCAGATCGCAGTCGGTCAGAACTGGATCTCAGTGGACATTATGCAGAGGGAAAAGAAGAAACAGGAAGCATTAAAAGTAAATCTATATCCGTCCCTGGGGGTCTGAACTCAGATCTGGTGAGTTGCAAAATAGGCTATCCGTGAAAAAATTTGGCTTGCTTAGTACAACCCACTGAAAAATATCAGAGCTTGAACAGATATTTTCTGTCTGCTAACTGACCGCCTGTGTCATTTATTCATTATTATTCATTATCCTGAAATGTCATGTTTTGGAGTTGATCAGGATATTCTCTATGGCAGTGGATGAGTACAGATGGTCTATTTGTGTTTATCTGGAATGCATTCCAAGCTTTCAGTGATTTCTGTTTATCAGAGGCCTTCAGGCTTTCTCCTCCACGACTGCTGTAGTTTTACCATTAAGAGCAGGTTGTTCATTTCCTTGGCTTCCATTTCCTAACATCATAATTCTGGCTTTGCAAGCGTGCTTTCATTACGTCATTTACATCCCAGGGTATGTGGTTGATTTCTCAAGCTGTGTTCCAAAAGGAGTAAAAATGAACACTAAAAATCCCGGCAGGACATCTCAAATTTATGTAAGGGAATTTTCATATTTTTATTTATTTTATTTATTTATTATATACAAAAACATGTATTTTACTTACATCAAGTCAATATGAAATATTGTATTTTACTATATTTCCCACTTGCTGCCCTTAGGCACTATGCAAGGGTAAGACCTCTATAGCTGTTGTGCTAAAACAGACCTAAATAGCAGGAGAGATCTGATGATACAGACTCGTGACTCAGAGAATGGACACACCACCATTTCTTTTGAATAGCAAAAATGTTTTTAATTATTCAGTTTACACAGGCTTCCAACAAGCATGAAAACAGTGTTTGACTTTCTTACCAGAGTGTCATGGGTGCGCAGTCCAATAAATGTTTATTTGTAAAATAAACATTTATTAGAAATAATTAACAAGTTACCCAATATATCATGTTATAATCATGTAATCCTAAAGTATATCTAAAGCCAAAACTTTTTTGTTTTTGTTTTAAATAGTGGTTGGTCAGGGTTTAAAAGTCTTTTAAAGTTTGTCCTGGTGACCATTATCACTGTGACCGATAGTGAGAAACAATTCAAAATTTTGAGTTGCCACTGAAACAGAAGTAGAGGGGAAATACTTGTTTGTTGGAAGAAGACTTGTTCTAATGACAATTGCACCCAGTCCAGCTAAAACCACACCTGACTTTTTTCTGGGAAGCAACACAGCAATATGTAAACTTAAATGCCAGTTTCACGAGCAGTACATACCTTCCCTTTGCTTCCCAAAGCTTAATTCAGAAAAGCAATACTTTGCCAATGTCATGTGTTATCCAATTTATCCAATTTGCTTGTGTTTCCACAGATAGTTAAATGTAGTTAAGGTTTTAATTGCATTTGGGGTACCAAACTGTGTTTTTGGAATAGAACAACTAATTATGGTATTGACTCAAGTCATTAGTTTGAGCTAGCGTTATCCACAGAGCAGATTCTATATCAATGGGAGAACAGTGGTGTGCATTAACATACAACTCGTCTTCTTTAACCTGCAAGTATTCTTTGACAATCCTTCATTACATGTGAACAGCCTGACAGTTTCTTGCAGGCACTTGCTGTTAAAAAATATCTATTTCACTATACCCACTCACAGTAAGCAATCCCCACTATTGCATGTGGTCTTTAACTCTCACTTCCTCTGGTAGGCTCCAGGTACCCCAGTCTAACAAAGCCACCACCAGCTTCACAATGTAATTGTAAATAGCTATTAGGACTGAAAGACAGCACATACATTTTGAGGCTGAAACCCTGCCTACCCCCAGCCCCTGTCTGATATTAACCATGCCATCCATCCATATGAACACTCTATGTATGTCCTATTTTTCTTCCATAATATGGGTGCCCATAATATGGGTGCCCACCCATTTAAGTTACTGCCTGGATCTGCCTTTGCTTTTCTGCCTTTCTGAACACTTTAAATTAAGTTCATTAGGTAAGCTCAAGAGATTGTGATGTTTTGTACTTGCTGGAGCAGGCCAGGTTAGAGGGTCTCTAATCTTTTGCTGTAGCCTACCTGTCCTAACCCTGATTTTTTTACCATAATACCCAGTAGTATTCTAAAATGTTCCTTTAGTGCAGGTGATATTGATGCCGTTTTTAGTAGAAGATTATCTTTTTTATCTTACTTACTTGCATTTTTCCACTTTCTCATTTTGAAGTAGCAGTTTTAAAAATTGGTCTGTAGTACTACTATTAGTCACAGGATAAAAATGAATGGTCTGTTTAGATAATTGGACAGCATTAAAGTAAAAGCGCAACGTCATCAACTGAACATTGAAAAATAAATTCCCAAAGAAACTGAAAACGTTTGTTCAGTATAAAAGGTTCATCAAAATAAATTGTCTGTCAAGGGTTAGTCCAATTTGTACAATGTCCTTCATGTCTCTGGAGATATTAATTACTTAATGGCATTGGAGTTATGACAAAGAAGGCACAAAAAAAGACAAAAAAGAAAAATCAGGACCCCTCAAACACACAGTATAAGGCTAGTGTAGATAAAAACATTTAATGTATCCATGTATTTTTGGTTGTGGTAGGACAATAGAACTTACTCAGATAAACACAGAAAAGATAAAGGTAATAATAAGTTAAATATTTTTGTGTATCTATCAAAGAAAAAAATGATCAAGCATCACTTGTATATGGTAATAATCTACATCTAAATTATCTACTTGATAATCTAGATCTATACCTTAACTGAATGATATTAAGGGGTCTATTTAGAAACAACTTGCTAAGCCATTCACCCTGTGAATGTTCTTTCTGTGCCAGAAAGAGTCTTTGTATATATTTGTTTTCAGGTTAAATGTAATGTAACGTAAAACCGCATTATGGCCACTGGATGGAGCAGAGAAGCATTGAAACCTTTCCTATGCTTCTTTTTTCACCTTTTATTTTCTCTTTAATTTCAACTCATTGCTGCTATTAGCATGAAGCCCTAGAGATGTTATGATTGATTCAATAACATGTCATCAATTATCAGATGATTATGGTACTACACGCTCCGTCCACAGTGGGCTTAATCAGTTCCTTTGTATGTTTCCTTACACTGTATTAGTGCTCTGTTGTAAAAAAAAAATAGACCCCATTTGCTGATGATACCATGGTCACTGAATGTCTCAGCAGTCATTTGGAAAACAGGCGATAATCGAGTCTCTGTGGAAAGTTAAAAGGACAGCATGCCAGGATACAGCGCTACACTTGAGGGGTTAAATTGGAGATATGTTGAGTTTCCTTGTACGGTTTGAGCAGCTTCAAAAGCGTATGGACCGGGGTGTCCAACCGAAGAGTAAGTTAAACAGAGATGAGATAATCGAGTCTCTCATGACTATAATTCAATCTACTTGTGTGTGGCCTGGTACTTATGTTATTGTACTGTTCATTTCCTTGCACATACAAATCAGTCTTATTACCCCATTTCTATCTGATGAAGCATAGCCGATTACATGAGACAGTGCCCTGCACTACATCAAGAACCAAGCCAAATGCTCACAGTATTGATTAGCATCAAGATAGCTTCAGGATACTGCTATGCTTTATTAGTCTCCACAGCCTGCTAGTGTTGGGAAAGCTGTTATATTCACTGTTAAAGTGTGCCTGCAAATTAGTTCAAACATGAGCCAAGAACTGGAAAACTATGATTTTATACTGCTTCTAATGAGTTATTGAACAGATCTCTTGTAATAAAGGGAACAGCAATAGTTTGGCATCAATTCTATTTTTAGGTTTATATGTTTTAAAACTTGTATTTTATTTATGATTAATATTATTTTGCAAAAAACATTTAAATGCATTGATAGTGTTTTGTGCAGAAAATTATGGGTTTTCTTAGGAGAGAGCACAACAGTAGCTGTCTCCTTTCAGACTTGTAACTCTCTGTTTGCCTTTTTAAAGGCCGTATAGAGCAAGGAGAAAGGGGTAAGGGAGATGGGCCTTATTCTGACCTGCACTCAGGATTGATGTTTAAAGCTTCATATTTACAGGGTGCACAGTCTAACTGCTCAGGGATCCAGTTTTTCAGATAGATGTGTACCAGTTTAAATCAGTGTTTCTCAACCTCAGTCACCGCACCCTTTAAAAGTATGCAAAATCTTGAAGCACCCCAATCTAAAAAGTAATGGATTGTAAGGACCACATGCAAAAACACAAAACAAAAGTGTGGTTGCCCTCTTCATATCAATGTCTTCCCTTCAATCAGGAGCTCCCCTTTACACCAGAATCCCCCTTTCACATCAGAGTACCTCATTTTACATCAGAGCGCCCCTCTTCCTCATCAGAGTCCACCCTCCATATCACAAGCCCCCCTCTTTCACATTAGAGTCTCTTACCATCAGAAGCCCCTCTACACATCAGAGTCCCCTCTTTATAACATAGTTCCCCCTTCATATCAGAGTCCTCTGTCCTACATTGCAAAATTTCACAGCACCCCAGGTTGCCACAGCACCCTGGTTGAGAAAGACTGGTCTAGATCACACCCATTTTGTTACCATAGTCTGGGAACCCCTTTTTTGCATGCCATGCCAGAGAAGCATTCCCAAACATACCACCTGCAGGATCCTTTCTGTATATCACACAGTGAAAGCCTGATCTGTCATAATATACTAATAGGAGTTTGGAAGTGGAAATCTGATTTCTGATATTTCAAAAAAAGAGGAATCTGGAAAGTGCAGGCTTTAGGAAGGAGACCATCCCAAAGCACAAAGGAAGCTACTTTGTGGTATCTGCTTACAATAGATTACAGAGAAATCATAACATAGCAAATTAAGTGGATCAAAAGAGCACACATTGCTTTATGCTGAGTCATAAGGAGAGCAGTAGGAGTCTGCTTCTAGAAGCTTGTGATATGTAACTTCCCCTCTCTCTGCTATCTTTATCACCATTTTTAGGCTGGTTGCTTGCTGTTAACCAATAACCCCAGATCCTTCTATTTTGACCAGCTGAATTCCATTTAAGATATATAGGGCCTGTGCTATTCCAATGGTCTTGGCATTTTTCACCTTTAAATATAATTTGCCATTTAACTGTTTATATTTCATATTGCTTTATAAACTACCATCTACCAAATCAATAATGAATGGATTGAAAAAAGTCCAAACCCTTGGAAACCAATAGCACTTTCCAGCCAAATTATTTTTTAGCTTTATTTAGAGTCCAGAAGTGATAGACATTCTGCATGTAGATCGTCTCTTCACTTTCTATGTCATTACTAAGCCCTGGTTCACATTTAGGAGTTTTTGAGCAGCTTTTAACTGCCCTACACAAGAAATCCCATGATTTTCAATGGCCCTAGTTCACACCTCAGCAGAAAAACGCCAAGCAGGAAAATGCAAGATGCCTGAAAAGATACAGGTGGTTCTTTGGGCAGGTAAAAGCGCTTTTCCTTCCCATAGACTTAATTGGAAATGCCCAAAAACACACAACAGAAGCATGTTGCACATTTTCGTGAGCGCTTATACGCGCATCCTTCCATTGCCCACAATGGTTTATGAGCTGCCAATCAAAACGCGCATCTTTATGTACGCACGTTAAAACGCGCATACAAAATGTGCACAACTTGCCAGATGCGCAAATAGCCGCATGCTGCTAACGCGCGTACAAACGCACAAAAACAGTGCCGCCTAGGTGTGAACTGGGAACACAGACAAAAAAATGTTTTGGCTCTTTTTTGAAAGGGGGGGGGGGGGGGTGGACATTGCAAATATTGCAAATAAACACAACAGCAGCTCTAACCCTTTCCCACTCTACTCAGAACTAGAAAAAAACAACAATTTTGCTAAAATACCATTTGTACAAGAGTAAAGCATCCATAAATATGAGCATTGTATTAATATAATCCCCCTCCTCCCCCATGCCTGTAGCATTCATTCTCTGTCCCCCTATCTTTTAGAAGTCCAATTATGCTGTATATTTAAAGTAATATTAAAGTCAAAATGTTTTTACTCTATTTTAATTGCTGATAAATTCACTTACAAATAATGCTGAAAATTCATGTTTAAACGTTTTAGCTTCCTGCAGAATCAGCTGGTCCCCTGAGCCATGGCCCTAATATTCTGCTTTAGGGTGGCTCCTTTCCTTTTCAGAGTCCTATGGAGCCACCCTTGTATGTGCTAGTAATATGTGTGTCACCACATGCACAAAGGCACAGCAAGGCAAAAACTCTCCCCTGCTACCCCCTCCACCTCCTCCTTCCTTTCTTCTCCAGGCTAGTAGATGGTAGACTGGAGATTGTGCTGTTCCTTGTGATCTTGTACAGGACAGGTAGTTCAGGGAAGCTGAGCTGAGAGAGTTGGAACCAGCTGTTCAGAAACATGATGACTGTAAGTGCTTGGGAAAAAAATATAACAAACTGCTTTGCTGAGCACTGTACTTTTGTTTGATCTGGGTTCATTATTGAAAAAAAATTGAGAGTTGAATCTCTTTCCTGCAGGAATATTTGGATGAAAATGAAGAGGATTTTGCTGCCACAAATGCACACAAAGCAAATACTCTTAGTGCATATTCCATGGTGAGTAAAATCAAAGGTAGGCTTTTGTTTACTTCAATGTGTCAGTCATTTTAATGCATCTCCACAGGCATTATCTGCACACTGTTGATGTACATTAGAAGATCTACCTAATGTTGCCATTATGGAAGCTGAAGCCATTTGTAAGGCCTTCAAAACCTACCTCACTGATGGCCAGTAGGTCTGAAAGGTTTGAATTGTATATTTTATGTGTGCCAGGTATACATTTTAACTAGGGATGCACCGATACCGATACAAGCATCGGTATCGGCGGCGATACCGAGTATTTGCACGAGTACTCGTACTCGTGCAAATACTCCGATACAAAAAACGAGTACCTGTTTCGCATCCGCCATCTTCAGGGACCCGAAACCGCTGCACACAGGACCTCCATCACGTCTTCAGTTAAACAAGATGGCCGCGAACTCCTCCTCCAAGTCCTCAGTCATCTGCTCCATTCTGACCTCTTCTCCGGCTGATTGGCCGATTGGATGATTGACAGGCTTCCTCACCAGTCAGGAGCGCTTTTTTTAGTCTTGGACAGCATAGGATTACTGCCTATTGATTATTACCATTGTGAAGTTTCACTTCTTTATTTGTCATAGTGGTCATTCACCCTGAGACAGAAAGTGAGGGGAAATCCAAAAGTTTAGGGTTGGCATCAAAGTCAAAAGCATACCAATGGTTTGGGGTCTAGTAGGGTCCCTTTCTCAAGGTAACCTAGATGGTCACTAAGTCACCTTGGACCCGGCGAGCCCCACAAATTGTTAGTATGCTTTTGACTTGTGTGATGTCACCTTCACAATAATAAATGTATATTTATTTGAAGTGCTGGTGATTTGGTATACTCCTATCTGGTCTTGGTCCTTGTAAACAACTGTTAACCACTATGCGAAGACCAAGGTACCTATCTGCTGAAACATGCATATCAAAACTAACAATATGTGTAATACTGATGTGTAATATAAGTGTACAGTATGTATTCATTATTCCTACAAGTTCCTACCTCTGACTGCCTGGTATTCAGGATGCAGAGCAAAAATCAGTGGCCCACGTGTGTTTGTGGGAGAAAATATTGCACCAGCGTGCGTTGCATGTCAGCCATAAATGTGCTACACAGGTCGGGTATTGGTACTGCACATGTGCGGAACTTTGTTTTCCATTCTGACTATCCAATAAAGAATCTTGTGTATTATTAGGCAACTGGTAGAGCCAGTGAAGAGGCTGGCCCACTGTAAACAAAGCACTGATAGATAAATATGAAAAAATAAACAAAAATCACTGGGACTGGAATACTTTTGAATGTTGGGACAAATAGTATGGAGAAACCAAAATGATGTCACAGGGAACTCTTTTCCAATTGAGTATCAGGTAGGCTGTACATAAGGTGACCTCCTTAATGGCACCCACTTTGGGCACCAGGGATGCCAAGGAGCCTAGAGCCTGTCAGCATAGAAGTACAGTGCCGCTTTATTCTCTGACATTGTGTCCAAGGCTCCATCACAAAGATGACTGGATATAGAAAGTCTGTTCACAGGTGACAACAAAGAGCATAAAAACTGCAGTCAAAGTCTGAAGCATGTGCTAAAAAGTACAGGAGAGACATTAGGTCCTCTTTTTATATGAAAAAACATCTGAAGTATTAAGATACATAGAAATCCTGAAAGTAGATCTTTAAATCTGTGTGCCCCATCAATTACACATTCAGAATTAGATCAGGGCCAAAGGGTTTGTTGTACAACTTCAACATCTAAAATATTTATTACACAATATCAGCTTGCTTCATTTTGCACAAATGTTGATCCTATTGAATCTGTAGAGGCCTGCATATTTTTAATGGCAGTTATATAATGGGAAGTCTGACCACTCACCACTGAAGTCGAATTTGTAAGATTAAAGCATTTCTAAACCCAAACAACAACAAAAATAACATATTACAGCTGACTGGTCCTTAAATGTGGAGGTTGCATTTGTTTTCAGACTGATTTAAGGCTAATTTTCCTTTAATTTCATATCGTTTTCCTGCCAATAACACACTTCCTGTCCTAGAGTGTTGTCACCCAAGGCTGCTTTTCTGGTTTGGATTACAATCACCCCCTTCAACTCCATTACATAGCTGCCTTTGTGTCATCAGAATGGCGTGTCTGTGTACTGACCATGGATGAGATGTGGCTAAGATCCAAATCACTGTGCTGATGGAGGTCTTGCAGAGAAGGATTTTGCATGACACTAAGTTTGAATCGAGCACCATCTGAAAAGCTATTACTTGGCATTACCACACACTTTAAGTCTGATTACCTGACAAGTGAAAGGAAGTCATTAAAATGTTTTATCATGATATGCAATATCATTTGAGCTCCTATTAAAGGCTCCAACACTCATCTCCACTCTAGTGATGTGACATCTACTAGCTCCTTTGCTGGCACCAACATCTGCTCCATAGTTTCTTCCAGGTTTGGCATCTTTGGTTGTCTTGTTTAGTTGGGCCAGGATGACATTGCTGAAAATTGTGCATGTGTATCTCAGTGTACATTCAGAAGTTTGCAAGCAGGCAGGTTAGGCTGGCCATACACTGGTAAATGTTTGTACGAACGTTCATATAAAAAATCTCATCAGAACATTCGTTAACACCATCAGAGAGGGGGAAGAAAACTAAATTAACTGTTAGAATTTTGTTTTCTCAGAAAAAAAATGCCATCCTGCTCCATTTTTCTTTTTTTTTTGTCAATACGATCAAAATTGATTATCGATTTAACTATTAAAAAGACGACCGAACATTCTGAAAACAAGTTTTTTCGAATTACATTCCACTGGTGTATGGCCAACTTAGGGAAGTTTTATACTTACATAATTTGTCTCTTCTGCAATAAAAAGCCTGGCTGCTCGCACATCTTTGGCCAAGAGGTAAAGTTCCCCTTTAAATAACCCTTCTTGGAGTTGATTGCTAGGCAGAATGACCTCTACACAAAGACCTTTTGTTTCTGCTTTTTGCAAAATGCCATTTTCTTGATGTGCTACTATTTCCTGCTTTATCTACCACTAATGTCTTTTATCTTTGCTACTTTCTACTTTTTTTTTCCTGTTCTGGAAAGAATGCTCCATCAGTCTCTGACAAGAAGTGGACCCACTTAAGTGTCCCTGATGCTGATGCAGATACTGTGAGTCTTTTCTTGAACTTCTTCTGTACCTTCTTTCCTTCCTTCGTCTTTGAACTCAATGGAAATGTGATTTTATATTAGACCTTTGCCATCATAGTACAGTAAATCATAGGTCAACATAAGAAGTGAACTGAAAGGTAAGCAGGATTCTGACAGCGCTGGGGTTAAACCTCTGCAATTTGTTAGGATACAGAAGATGGCAGGCCGTAAAAGGGTAGTTTATTTCTTATCAGACATGTAAGAAATGTTTGTATTGTGTAATCCACTTACCTGCAATGTCTGAACAACAGAGACAGATTCATATAACAGCTTCTGCTCAGGTTTAATTACCTACAAAGACCTAACAACTTTAAAGAATTTGAGCATACCGAGCCCCAGCATGAACTGGCCATGGCCAGTAAAAATTAGATCTTATTGCATTCACTGGCCATTCTTTATAATACTGTATACATTTTTAATGCAAAAAGAATATAGGCAAGTTGTTTTAAAAAACAAAAGTGGATGCTATGAGACTATATTGCCCATGAGGCCAAACACTGCTTCCCCCTCTGTTTATTCTCGCTTGGATCAGAGTATGTGCAGCTTCATTTCAATGAAAGTGTGGTTCCCTATAAGCCTCCTACCTGTAGCAGTAAATTATATATATATATCCTCAGTCCTCACAACCAGGTTCAAATAAATGCTGACAACTAGCATGTAAATTTCATTTTGTTACGCATGCAAATATGAATGTACTTTTGGCCAAATTTCTGGCCAATCAGGAAAGGATGTCCAAAACTAAAGCAACATTTTTTGCCAGCTTACATATCTACTGACAACATACCATCCCTGGAGCACTGCTGGGACGGGGTGAGAAGCAACTGCAGTACTTCAGTCCATGAATTTAAACAGAATGGTGTAAACCACAGCACTAAAAAGCAGTGCTACACACAGACATAAGATCAGATTGTTGGAGACGTGTCTCTAGGTTCAAAACCTCACTGTTACAGCATAGCTTTTATTCTGGCTTTAGTGAAAGGCAATGAACAAAGCACAGCAGGCATAGAGTCCTGACTGGTTTTGTACATACAGCACTTCATGGGGAAGGGAAAATGCATGAAACAAACATAATACCAGTCACATGAATGAAATCACCTGAACAATGAGCAATTACAAGTCATTCTCTTATACAAAACGGATACCCAGTATCAGTGTGTGGGGAGAGAAAACCACAACACTGTGTAAAAAACATGTACAAAAGCATAAAGGAAAGTGAGAAACAATAAAATATGCAATGTTTAAAACCTGCTGTTTTTAAAGGGGAAGGTCGCTAAAGGTTTCTAAAGTGAAAGCTTACCAAACACCGTATTCATTAAAATGATTCTCTACACTGCAAGGAGGGCTTGTTCTAAGCTTGTGTATCCACATCCATTCTGCAATCTTTTGCAAACTTACCACTCTTAAAGTGTATCTACTGTATACCCAAAAAACATAAACAACTTGGGGCTTCCGAGGTGCCAAGAACTGAATGACAATATGTATCTAAAATTCTATTTTTTATTGATATAAATATACGTTAAAATGTTTTTACAAACAAAAGCTGTCATGTGTCCATTTTGTTTGTTGCAATCAAATATACAATGATAACATACACAGTTGACTGCATCAATATAACAAACAGTTTACTTAATTGTCCAGATTCTACACGTTTTGCATCACATACCTGACAGTTCATGGCTATTAGATCATCCAACACCCGCAAATTACGGGAGCGGAAGGATAGGAGAGGAGGGATAGTAATGTGAAGGTAAAGCAGGAGAGCTAATAACGGTACGCACAATGTTCCAGTAGGGGCTTTCCGGGCTGATCAAATAGACAAGAACCCACTTTGTATCTATCCATAGATTATATATATTAAGTATTACAGTTATTGTTTTCAATGAATAAATAAATACCTGAACAAAAGGCTAGCACAAATGTCCCAATAGTCAAATGTTTCACCCAGTGTCCGGGTCTTGAGGAAGCAATACCATGAAACACATTGAGTCTGTACAATTAAGTACATTATTTATTATATTGATGCAGCCAACTGTGCATGTTATTATTGTATATTTGATCGCAATGAACAAAATGGACACATGGCAACTTTTGTTTTTACTAACACTTTAATTTATATTTATATCAATAAAAAATGGAATTTTAGATACATATTCTTATTCAGTTCTTGGCACCTCGAAAGCCCCACGTTGTTTTTTGTGGTCTAATTAATCAGGGGTGTGGTGCCATGCTTCTGCATCTTCATGCCCCCTGCTTTATCAAATCGCTATTGTTATAGTATCTATACCCAAGTGCAAAAATGTAATACATTGCAGCTTACCAGCCCTTAGACACACTGGTTGCATTAGTTTTCTTTTTTCAAGTTTTTTTCCCCCTTTATTTTTACTTGGTGGTCCTGCCAGTAGCATATTTGCTGTCCTACACTCACTAACTGTACTTTGTATGTAAGGATAATGGAATCAGGGTTGTCTCCCTAGGACAGGACTACAGAACACTACTACCTCTCCTTATCTCCATAACACCAGGTCTGGGGAGTGGTCCTGTAGCTATGTGGGGTTAACCAGCTAGTAGGAAGGCATATTGCACAGGACAGAATTGGATTTATGGCAGAAACAACAGGTATTTTTTGCATTTTTGTAACAGACATAACAAAATTGCTACGTACACATTAATATTCCATAAGCTTGAACAGATGCTAATGAATTAAAAGGGCCAAAGTGATCCATTAATGGTGAACCACATTGGCTTGTATAATATTATTTAGATGTTCCTCAGTTTCACTAGCATATTATTTACAGACAGCATAGCCACATGCAATCACACCAGTTGTGGGCAATCGGTTACATGCAGGTGGATAGATACCTGTTTAGAATCCTGCCTCTACCAAAATACTGTAGAAGGTTTGTAACAAGATTGTCACGGTCTAGGGACTGGGGCACTAGTGTACGTGAGCTCCGGTGTTTTCGGAGTTGGTAGGAGTCACAAATAGGCAGGATATCGGGGATGTTGGTCACAGGGAGAGAGGAATGAATGGTCTGTGCGTTCTCGGGACGCACTAGAGGCGCAGAATCTAAGAAGGGCCAGGTATTCGACAGAGCCTCTAGTGGTGAGGATGATTGGCTGCTGGTCACCTTCCAGGTTGCGGCCCTCTAGCGCATCCACACAGACGCAAAGGACTAGTTGAAGCACCGGGGAACTGAATACAAACAACAGGTAGGGGTGAAACTTCTAACCAAGAGGAGGAAGATAGGAACAGTGGCACCCAATGAGAGAAAGAGAAAGTCACAAGCAAAAGGTGCAAACGCACAGCAGAACAGCAGAGTATACCGAAGAGGGTAGCAAAACAAGGACACTAGGGAAGGGTAAGTAGCTTAGCGGCACACCTAGGAGCAGGAAGGTCTAATGTACAAAAGTAAGCAGATGTGTGTTGCACATGCATACAAAGAAGCAGGATAACAGAGGGAAAAGTATATAAAGAAGCACAAAGGGAAGTATGCACACAGGGGGTGTGCAGACAAGGACGAATCCAACACAGCCACAAGGTAAGAGAGGAGCACAGAAATAAAGGGGTGACAGCAAGGCATAGGAAGATAAGTGATGGAATAGAAGTACAAGAAAGCAAACAGACAAAGGCTGGAGAGGGAAAACACAGTAGAAGTGAGGCAATGAAGGCAGTATAGAGAGACTCACAGCACACAGGTGAAAGCAAGGTCTGCAGCAATATACTAAAGGTAACCACCGAAATACTATATTGTAGGGGCGCAAGGAGCAAAGCAGGGGATAACGCCAAACAGGGATACCAGCTGGTACAGGGAAGCCAAAGGCACAAGGATCCAATAGCAAGCGCAGGGAATAAGATCCCAGGGATAGTTAGAGCCACAAGGGGTACGGAACAAGGCATAAGACTTGTTGCTCGCACCAAGAGCAACAAGTGAGGAAGTCCTAAATAGGGGAGCAGGAGAGCAGATTGGCTGCAGCCTTGTGAGACACCATAGGCTAACAGCCCAGAACCACGGAGGAAAGCGAAAATCCGTCACGGATTTCTCTATATTGGGACAAAGATAGATGTGACAGTTTAGGGTCCATGGTCAAGTTGAGCCAATATTGGCTTGATGAAGCACCGCATACACAAAACTGTGTACTTTTAAACATTGCATATTTTGGGTTATGTTTCTTTACTCATTATTTTTACGTTCTGTTTTTTTAATGATTTCTAGCTCATTTTTTTCTGTTTTTTTTATTACCATATAAACGTTTGATACTAGGAATCTTATTTTGTGAAACAGAATATTAATGGCTTATTACTTAAAGTGACTTAAATTATGTAGCAGCTATTTACCGATGTTTGTTTTATGCGCATTCCATCCTTAATAAAGTACTTTATGCATTAATCTAGTTGTATACCTGCTGTGCCTTTTCATGGAGCCCAAATAAAAGCTATTTTATTGGTGAGTTTTGGATCCTTGAAGCCATTCTTCATTACTGATCGTCTATGTGAAGTGCTGCTTCTAATATCGAGCTTTGTGCCATTCAGTTTGGATTCCCAGAAGTCTGCTGTGTTAGCTGAGCAAGGAGGCCACAGATACACAGAAGAAGCAAGAAAGCAAATGCAAGTCATCCAGCTTGAATAGTACGCTTTTGAAATAGCTTATTAACTCCAAACCTGTTTTATGCATAGCTGGCAAAGCTTGTTCCAAATTGCCTATTGCTCCTGCAGCGTACTGAGAATTTAAAGCAATTGGTGTTTATTGTGCTTACTTTTTGAGTATTTATTCATTTTAAAGAAAAATGTCCTTTAATATTCAGTTGATTTACAGAATTCTCTTAGACGAGATTACCTTTTTAGAAATGAATATGTGAATAGCTACATAAAACCTGAGGATCATGCAAGATGTTAAAACAATTCCATTACTACAGTTCTATGGGAAGTACTCCCTAAGCTCCGCTTCATGCTCCATGTACTC